ACTTCACTTTGTCAGTAGATATAATTGGCTGACCGACAAATATTATACGTTGTTCTCTCTTGCTTTCATTCCCTACACACGTTTAAACTCTCGTATAAATGTTCTATCTAGACGAAAATCAAAGTCAACCCTTAATTAAATAATGATAATCGGTCCAGTAGTCTTATGACCTATAATCGTGTTAATGTTGTTTACTAATCCCTTGAAGTGTGAGACACTCTTTTGATTAGCTTAACTGTAACATCATATCATATGACAACAAATTTTATCGTATATACAGTAAATTCATTCCTATTCGTAGGCTAACTACTTAAATTATTTGGTATTTTAGGTGTAATACATAAAATTCACATTTACATGGAAATATCAAACTTTCCGAGAATCGTCACCGTTCACAATGAACAGTATCAGGCTAGGACATTTGATTGTAATTCAAAATAATATAAGTGAATATTTGCTATTTTGAACTGTAGTGTAATATTTATACACCCATTCATGATATTCACAAAATTTTGACTAAAATATTAAGATTTTAGATGTTGCATATCGGTAGTTCAGTGCTAGGAGGGAGATTCAGATTCGACTCCTACCGGCGTCTGCCCAAAACCTCGTTTAGTGGTCAGTCAACCTGGAAAAGATGGAAAGTTATGTGTGATACTACCAATTTCACTGCCGGAAAAAAACAACGCCAACACTACGGGAACTTCAATACTTGAATACATATGTTTCACTCAGAATACAAGTAATGAATATACATATATTTAATTAGCTTTCAACAAAGCGCTGCGCAATTCTTGAAAGATATATACATATATATACTTTGATCTTCTCCTTCACCAGACTGGTGAATATTTTGAGTATTGATATTTTGTGTGAAAGTAAATTTAAAATTTAGAACACACTATATTCAGTGTACTTAAACTGTAATGTAGCAGTCCATATCAACCTAATTCCATCACTCACAGGGACCAGGCAGGGTTGAAGTTACTTTGAACCAATGTCTGATTTAAAACAGGTGACTCCTGTGGTCAGTAGCTTAGTGGATAGGATTTTGGTGTTTCAAATAAAAAGTATCGGGTCCGAGTCATGCTGGAAACACCACAAGTCAATGAGGATGCAAATATACCCAGCTGACAAGTCTCTTTTAGGACAAAATGCACATCTTAGATTCTGATTCTAACCACAGTCAACCAAGCATCACTTAACAGTGCATTTTAATTTCTTCTCTTCTGAATACACGAAGCTACACAAAACTGAAGCATTTTCTTCACACCTTATCAAATTAGAGAATCCAAAATTTTTTGTGTTGACTTTCTGTGATTAATTTAGAAAAGGTAAATTACATCACTTTCCTAATCGCGTTTTTCCTTTCACTTCCTTCACTGTTTGATTCTTCTGTTTTATAAATATAAGCTCATTTATTTTATTATTATTATCATCATCATCAAAATCTTAAAGTTCATGATAACATCAACATTTTTTTTGTTTTATTTAATCTTAGCAACACTGATAAATTGAAAATTGAAGTCTTATGGATTGATCAAAGGTATATGTTTTTATCTAAAAAATATCTTAATGATTAGACGCATTGATAAACGATTTCAGTTATATTATTATTTATTTCATACCTATGTCAATAATAAGTAACACGAATAAATAATTTCAAGTGACATTCATCATTCATAAAAACAGAAAACTAGTTTCGGACATTTCATAGAAATACTGTGCTGTTTATCTCTCCACATATTAACTTGTTGTTTTCTAAGAATGTAGTTATGTGCTTTTTCTACATACATGCCAGTAACTGCATTTATCGAATCGGAAAAGCTTACCCACATAATTCCATTGTGAACTTCAACTATTTAATAAATATGTAATAAATTATGTACTACTAACTACTTGATATAAGTAGTTGTACACTACTCAGGTCAACCGGTGGTGTTTACTGCCAAGCTAGTCCAAAATGACCTAAAAACTGCAGAGTCGTTACTCTTTTTTAAGATCGAGCTCTGCAGCTGTAAACCAAGTTTAACGCAGAAAAAACAGTCGAATCAGTTTGAAATCCCAGAATACTGGCTAGCCATTCGGGTGAACTTGTAATACATCGGATCGAATTCAGAATTTGCAGTTTACACATTTCGAGGTACCTTTAGAAGGCAAATTATTTTTTATCACAATATGTGATCTACTTCATACCAGAAATGGTTAAAATGGAAGCCTGTGAAATAGAGTGATGGTATACATTGCAGATTAATATGAGTAGTTGGAAACCACTCAAGTAAAGCAGTGGTGTTTACCAACCCGACTGAAATGATCTCAGTAATTTCGATTTCCAAAGGAAACTGTATTGAAGTTTCACCTCGAACTGTTTAAATTGCGAATTTCTAATTCGATCCCACACTTTCGAAAATACACACAGACATATTTCGACAACACCAGTTTATCTAGGAATCGAGGATCAAAGTAGATCACGATTTACCGGATAGTGTGATTCACATGAAGTGTAACAGATAGCTTTATTGTAGAATAATTTTGTTTGATATTACACATAGTAATACAGTTATTAGTTAATTAACTATTTACACAACTTAGTACTCAAAATCACATCACAGTACCCAGATAACTTTCAGATTTTGCTTATACTACAGTTAAATTTCTTTTTTGTCGTTTGATTTTATTGGTGATAATGCTTCCCATATCTCTGGTATTAGCGTTGCATTACTCTTTTCACCTGCAGGTTAGATAAACGAGAATTAACTGATCAAGCTCTCCCTACATATTACCATATGACTTTTAAAACTGTAGCTGTGTTCTACCCTGTGGTATGGTTGTGTTTTGTTTCGTAAATTAGTTTTCCTGGGTTCGTCATCTTTTAGGGTCAGTCATCTTGACTCTTGGGTGAATTTTTGCATTCTGATAATCTAACTGACCCTGATCTACCACAGTGGCCTACATAACTGATCTCATAGTCATTGAGGCGTATATTGTCTATTCGGATCAGTAGGATTACTTAGCCTTGAGAGAGTTTAAATGAAACTCACTATTATATTAATCCTAATTGGGGTTTCTGATGTTGTCTCTTCTTATTGGCAATACTGTTGATGTCTTAAATTGTGGAGGAAGATGGTGATCACTAAACACTCGTCCATCGAATCTATACGAATTTTTAAGAAATTTGGGTAATGCGAAATTAATACTGGAGATATGGGAAATATTACTGCAAATAAAGTCAGATGAGGATAAATACTGGAAATTTTTTATAAACAGAATCTGTGAGTTATGCCAGTATGATTATGAATAACCAATTGGGCATGAAATATCATCAGTAAATAAATAACACTGTAGAACATTCACTTATTTTCTTAAGGACTTACACTTTACCATAGTGTTGAAAATCTGTTCTTATACCAAAGTAATAGACAATACTGTTTCACAGGTAAATAAGCTAACATATAAACTAATGCAATATTCTTTTAGAAATCTAATGGAAGTTTTCGATAGATAATTTGTCTAAGAAAAATTTATACATCAACTCTTTTACTGACTACAAAATCATGACATTGTTTCAGTGTAAGCCAATTATTATTTATCAGCCAGGATTTCATATGTAGTAAATGCATACAAACAAGTGCAATGGTTCAATGGTAGAATATTAGTCAGGCACTTAATTAATCTGGGTTCGATCCCTGGCCAATCCACGCTTTAACCTCTTCTAGTTTACTAGTCGATATTATGCTCAGAAAAGGGGGGCGTGTTGGGCATATGTCTGGTGACAATACTGAGTAAAAACAATACCACTTCTGTAACTTCAAAGTTTGAATTTCAACGTTTCACTGTAGTACGAGGAGTGGAAAGAAATATATGATCTAGAAAATCATCAGTAATTAAGCTGTATTGCATTTGTAATTAATTCCTATTTAAAATATGTAAACAGTGTTTATCGATGGTGTCATGTATAGGAGAGCTCCAATCAAACAGACTAAATTCCGTTTACAAAAGACGGGACAAAACCATGTTTTTACATACTCAACTAACTTAGAAGACAATACAAAAAAGGCCTTTCATGTAAAGTAGTTTAAAGAGTCTGTAATGTGTTTTCTAATAAAAAAAGACAGAAATTTGAACTGACGGTTCTTAATCTTTTTCATTTCAGTTAACTTTAGATGATATTTCAATTAAGTGAAAAACTCCCTTAATACATTTCTGATTCATCAGTTCACCACGGTATTCATAAATATTTTTAAATGATGATAAAGAAGATTGTAGTCTCCCAAAATGATCGTTAAAATCGTATACCTGTGCCAGACATTTAAAATCATATTTGAAAGTAGATTTCGTCTGAAACCCACATTCTTTTTATCCTTGTATAACTAGAGCTTCGGCTATACACAACTGGAGAAAACAGTGACTGAATTTCTACCTGTAGATAACTTGACAGAATAAATCAAGTGGGGCTGAATAATCTAACAGCAGATCTTCACAAACGGAAGATTCATCATAATATGGTTGTCTTTCGTCAACCAAAGGGGAAGTGTTTAGCTACGCTTTTGCAGAAAACTTGTTTACATGTTTTATGTAATCCACTCCACAGAAGCATATGAAAGAGTAGATGTACATATTAGTGAACATAATAGGTAGTTTTTAATTCATGGATTTCTGAATTATACTATGTGTAGAAAATTTCAGCGGTAAAGAGGTTGTTTAATACACCCGGATAAACGAGTTTTAATCACTTCAGCAACAGAATCCAGACTGTGTATTTCTGTCCATTTAGGACTCCTCACTGATTTCACCAGATATATCCCTCGCGAGTGATGGTGTTCCCACTGAGGCTCAAACCTAGCACCTATCGTGTCAAAAATCCAAAGAATTATCTACTAGACCACTGGATTACAATAACCACTCGAAGCCAATATACCAACAGAAATGGAGCATTTCAATCTAATATCAATCAGTCAATCAATCAATGAAGAGCAATATTCAATTTTCAAGGGACTTACCGGTCTTACAAAGCGATATATCTATGTGTGTTTAAATGTTTAAATAGGCGAATAGACGGGTTACATAAACATCGCTGATTAGATACGTTTCCTCAGTGAATAATGTGTAAATATGAATTATTGTTTAAATGTATATGCATATATATGTATATTTAAAATATTGTATGTCTCTTTTTATTTCAAATGATTCAAGTCAGACTGATAGTGGGAAAATAAAGAGAAGTAGATTAGTGGATAAAAACAGATTAAATATTGAGTACTTTTCTTGATAGTCTTGTTTAACTCTTCCTTTCTTGACGAAGAAAAACAAAAATATAGAAACACAAGAATGAGAAGGAGGTGAAGACAACACCAACTTTTTTTTCTCCAATATTTTAGTTCCAGTATACTGTTGATTTGTATGATTAAACTTTGAACAGAGTACAAATTTTAGTCTATTGAAAATATCCTCAGAAAGGAGAAAATGATTTCAAAATGTACACATAAACCAATTATACTGACTGGTGGTATATTTTAGAATGATGAACATGATACTTTATGATCACTTCTGTTGTGATTACTTAATGTGACGCGCTTTCAGTGGTAAAAATGATGTGTCCTATTGTAAAAGACAACGTGTGTTTATGTGTGCGTGTGCGTGTGAGATAGATAGATAGATAGAAAGCGAGAGGTTAACAAAAGTAAAAATCTAAATTTATGGGCAAATGAAAATGTTGTTGCACTCACTAACACATACATACAATGACACACATTACATACATACATACATTCACTCATGCATACGTAAACTAAACAGAACAAATATAGTTACAGTGTGTTGCAGTATTATTTCAACGGAACAATTGTTTTCGAAAAATGCCCCGACATTTTATAAGCAAACGAATAAACACATACCTCTATCCCTTCAGCCATCCATCCATCCATCCATCTATCCACCCGTTTGTTCATTGATCATCTAAAGTAAAAGAATACATTGAGGGAACACACACAAACACACAAACAAAAGTAAAGGAAAGTAGATAGGAAACTACTTCGACAAATAATGGGAAAACATCAACCTTAACCTTTACATATATATATATTCTTGTTGAAATCAGTAGCTTCGATAACTGCAGAGACACTGTTTTAAGTTCGCATTTAAGTTACTTTTAGAAGTTGGAATCCACTGGAACGGAATCCAGTGGTTGAATGATCAACAAATTCTTCTCGTAAACCGAAGGTCCTAGGTTCCATCCCTGGTAGGGTGGATACTGCTGAAGAATCTTGGATAAGGATGGAACAGCTATCTAATACTCCCTGGTTTTCAGAAATCTTCTGACTGACTGATCAAAGTCAAAACTAATCAAATGAATACAGATGAACACTTGAAATTTATTTTTTGATCTCAATCATTTAAAGTGTTGGTATAGAGCATTGGGATTTCCGTGAACCATTCATTACATTACAGTGTTCATAAAATGTAGGCTAACATGTTCAACTCCTTGTAACCTTCCCCAGTCAATATATAATTAAGGTCTACTCAATCCTGTCACTCAGATTTACTTATTTAATTTCTAATTTCTACCTAATTAATTCTTTCTATATTGCGTGAGTGTTATCTTGAAATTTTGTTGACAGATCTTTGGAAACATTACTTTTGTTGTTATGACAATGTAATATATATATATCTGAGAAGATTGGTGAAAAGAGTAACTCTTCACTGAACGCCTCTTCATCTCTTATTGGAATTTTAAAGGTAATATAGAAAGTCAGTAACTCCAAATTTTTTAATTAAGTTCAACCATTTCAAATTCACCAAGAGAATAAACCAGAAGCTGTGTAATATATTCCTCAGATAAACTCAGTTACATGACAAGGCTAAGTATATATTGTAGAGTTATATTAGAACAACAGAAAGAAGGGCACACCTTCGATTCGTTCAACATACCTCAGAAAACCTACGTCCCATTGCAAAATCTCTCAATAGTCCTATCACCAGTCACCCCCTTGATACGGGTCATAAAAGGCATATCCTCAATTCCTTCAAAGTCACCAATCGACAACATCATTCAATTCTTCTCAAGACTGAAGAAGCAATCGCCAGCGAACGTCTGAAACCCGATTTCAGTGTTCAGAATGAATCAATTTTCAATGTTTCCTTACTCTTGTAACTCGATATCTTTTCCCTTCCTTTTATTTGATTCTGTAGTTTGTTGCTTCAACCTCCTCCGCTTTTCATGCGGTGTAATGAGGTCCTCACAACGCAACTGCTTTTCCATTGTTCTCGAAGATTTATTTGTTGCTTCTGATTTGATTAAACTGGCATCTCCAATGCATAAGTTATCTAATTGTAATTTCTGAATACTTTATCAGTTTTGGAGTTCTCAGTTAACTGAAGTCGTTTCACGTTTGCATTTAGATTAAAATGTCCCTGTGCATTCATTTAATGAATTTTTTTTAGCTTGTACGCAAATGATGGAAAACCAAGGAAATAAACAATGGCATCATCTTGTACTGACCAAGCTCCTGTTTTTATTATTATTATTTCCTTTAATTCCTAGAGGAACATAGGGCTTCAGCCACGTGTCTCCATTGCTTTCGGTTCTCTGATAGAGTCTTCACCTGGCTCCAAGTTTGCCCACACGTTTTCATCTCCTCTTCACATGACCTCCTCCAAGTCACCCTTGGATTATTAACTCGCCACTTCCCTTTCGGGTTCCACTGGAGCAATGGTTTGTCTAGTGATGTCACTTGATGGTTTCCTAAGAGTATGGCCAATCCATCTCCATTTCTTCCTGCCTATTTGTTTCACAATCGGTTCCTGGTTGATTTGCTCCTAGAGATCTATGTTGCCGATCTTTTCCGGCCATCTGATCTTGAGTGGTATTGAGCGAAGACAACTGTTAATGAAGGTCTGTAGTTTGTTTCAGATGCTCTTTATGACGCGCCGGACAAGTCTCTGATCCGTATAGTATCACTGGCTTCACATTGGAGTTGAAAATCCGGATCTTATTTTGATGCTGAGTGTTGTTGACCTCCACACAGACTTGAGAGTAGTGAAAGCTTGCCTTGCTTTCCCGATTCTTGCTTTGATATCCTCGTCAGTTCCACCTGTAGTTGAAATGATGCTTCCCAGGTAGTTAGTAGTTGAAGGAGGTTGTTTCTTTCAGGTCCCTTCCATTTATGCTGATTGTTGTCTGTTGTTGTTGTTGCTGTTGGTGGTGTTGCCCAGGAATCTTCATCACTTCTGTTTTCTCTATGTTTACTTGGAGTCGTATCTTATATGCTTCTTCTATCGCCAACTTGTTGCTTTTCACTTGCATATCTTCCATTTTGTGGGAAATCATACATATATCATCGGCGAAGTCCAGATCATCCAAGTTTTTTGTGTGGGTTTATTTTATGCCTGCTTCCTCGCTGCCCGCCGCCATCTGTTGTACTATCCAGTCTACTGCAATCAGGAAAATCATTGGTGATAGTAGGCAGCCTTGCCTTACTCCCGTCTTCACTCTGAAGGATTCTGTAAGTTATACGTTGTGGATTACTTGGCATGCAGCATTGTCGTACAGCTGTTGGATGAGATGTATAATTTTCGGTGGCACGCCGTAGTAGCGAAGTAGTTTCTCCTGTTTTTACTTAATTCAAATTCACAAACAGAAATTAGTGTATGAAGAGCATTCAGAAAGGTAAGCTATAAGGAAATATATTTGTATTCAGTTAGTTCCTCAGAAAAAACTCAACAGTAACTGTTTTAAATGTGATGCGTTAGTTAATAGGAAATAATAATATTGTGGTATGTGACACAAATGTGCATAGTTATGTAAATTAAAGCCATTTCATTTGTAGATGTAATAAGTAAAATAACGATAATAGAGAAGAATAGGTGAATGAATTGGTCGACAAGTGAGCAAGAGAACCAAGATACAAATAATTATTATTACTAACTTCTTGTGTTGTGAGTGGAACACAGGGCTTCAGTGGCACATCACTGCACTTGGTTCTCTGTCGCCATTTCTACCTGACTGCCCATGGATTCATGTTTGCTCTCTGCTAGAGAGTCAAACACTAGGACGAAATACCTATCTAGTGCATCATATTTCCAATGGTTCTATACTCAGTGTTCGGAATTCATTTTATGCCTTTTAAAATGCTTTGCAATTTTCTTCCCCTTTCGTTTTTCTAACTTAACCTATAGCTATTCTATGCAAGATTCTTGAAGAAGAACTCACACAACGTATGACTTACAGATTCGTTTGATACATGCCAAACATATATCCCATAACTTTGACTCCATAGACTCATGAATATTAATTATATGTAAGAGTAAACTTTGAGGTTGCGCATAGCTACATCTTAACTAATGAGTGGTACGAAAGTGAATCATTTTAAGTTTGACAGTCAGTTTGATCAACCAGAACTGATCACTGCTTAGATTGAATTGGACTCATAAAATGAGAGCAGTCCTGTAAAGATAAGGTTACCGCCTCATTAAAGCAAAAAATTATTCAGTGTTTCTATTCAACTAACATATCATATATATGTATATGTTGCTCATTCCTTCTAGCCAGCCATTTGATCTCTGTTATCAAGCGAAGGTAGTCACTGATGAAACTCTGCGGCAGACTCTCAAGAACACTTTTGGTGACACGGTGCCAAGTCTTTGAACCATAAAGGGGCAATGCTGTTCTTTTATGCTGAGTTATGTAGATCTTCACATTGATTTGAGGCTGATGAACGCCTTCCTTGCTTTTGCGACTCCATCCTTGCTAGCTTTGATATCGTCCTTAGCCTACAATTTGTTGGAATGATGCTGTCGGGATAGGTGGAACAGCGGACTTTCCGTAAACTTTTCCCATTGACAGTGACTAAAGTTTACTGTTGGTTGGGTGTATGTATTAGTGCTGTCGTCTCTGAGTTCAACTGAAGTCCTATATTCACTGAATTTTCTGCCAGCTTGTTAGTTTTTGCTTGTGTGCCTAAGATTTTGTGAGAAATTAAACATAGGTCACCTACCGAATCCATATCTTAAGCTACATGTAGACTGTTATATTTAAGAATTACGTCAGCATTGAGATGTAAATGAATATCGAGTTAGCTAGCGAATCAAGAATAAAATGAATGTTTTAAGGTAAGTGATTGAGATAGTTTGCTCAGATACCCATTCAGTTTAAAATCAGTTCATCAGAACAGATTTTCCTTATACCAGGTTATGGACCATAGTTACTTTGTCAGGGTTTAAATTGCCACTCAGTAGACCAACCTAAAGATTGCAAGTAAATCAGGCTGACAAGTCCCGAATAGGAAGAATCGTGTACCTTGGATCCCATTGCTGGTCATATAAAAGGGTCAGATCAATTAGAAATTTCGCAATTTTCTGGATTTATATGATTCTAAATATTTCACTGCGCCTGTGGTTCAGTGGTAGGACACTAAACAACCAAGCAAATGGCCCGGGGTTCGACCCCTGGCCAATGTACTCCCCTACCTTGCTTAGCTGGCAGTAAACCCAGTAAAGTGCGGAGGCTGAAAGTGAGGCTAACAACCTCATCTCAAGCTCCACCTTGAAGCCCTGTGACCCACTGAGAACTCAAAGGAATACCATAAAAAAACAGTAAATACTTCAGTATTTTCTTTCGGTTAAAATGTGTCATAAAGGAATATATGGTTTTAAGAATAAGACGCGAGTTCTGATTGCTTTAATATCATTAACCTTGACTATATATGAGGGAATTATGTTATTCTTCCAGCTCTTCTATTTCTACTTAAATACCTAACAGCTTCATACATTCGATATGCTTAATTGGTCAGAATGTGAATTTATATATCTAGTATGATATGTGTAAG